AACAAAGAGTGAAAAATTTAAGGGGGTCTGAATACTTTCCGTACCCACTGTATATATATATATATATACTATAAAATTGTTACAATTTCCAATAGCTTGTTTGTATGTTTTACTTCAAATGACAATATATTTTATAAATGGAAAATTAATATATGTACATAAATTACATTAGTGCTTGGGCTAAGCTGACTTGAGATGAATAATGACACTAATGTCTTTTTAGAGCTGCTTCACAGCTAAAATTATATCCAGTTCATAGCTGAATCATAATAATACTGTTATTTTCTTGTTTATTACTGTGAAGCTGCTTCAAAACAGTCTGTATTGACTTGACCTTTAAAATGGTTATGACCCCACACAGAGAGATCTTAAACTAATCTAAATCCAAACTATCTGTCTTAAAGTAACTGTCTTAAAAAGCTCTTTGTGAAGCTCTTTGTGAACCTATACAAATTGTCTCCTAGACAAGACCACAGGAACTAGTTGAGTCCTGTGAGTCACAGTTGAGTCCTCTGCACAATGTGACTTTGCTGCAGCCTGGATTTGAACTGCTGGTTTTGTCTGGCCAGAGGAGAACTGGCCCCCCGACTGAGCCTGGTTTCTCCCAAGGTTTTTTCTCCATTCTGTCACTGCTGGAGTTTCGGTTTCTTGCGGCTGTCGCCTCTGGCTTGCTTAGTTAGAGACACTTAATTTCCAGCGATATCGTTGACTTGATTGCACAGATACTATTTAAACTGAACTGAGCTGGATGATGACATCACTGAATTCAATGATGAACTGCCTTTAAATGAAAATTGAGTGTTTACTATTGTCATTTTGCATTAATGACACACTATTTTCCTAATTAATGCTGTACAGTTGCTTTGACACAATCTGTATTGTTAAAAGCGCTATATAAATAAAGGTTACTTGACTTGACTTACTTAGTTTGTAAATTTGTCAGTTATGATATTTTTTCAAATTTTCAGCAGAGAAGTGAATTGTGCAACTCTCTTGAGAGAAGTGAATCAAACTGATGCTGTTTCGTGTGATTGACTGTTTACTGCAGATTCCACACATTTGTTTTGTACTTTTATTTTTTTGTATTGTGTATTCGTGTTCACTTTCTATATATTAGTATTCACCTCATCTTATTGAAAAGCTGCTTGTGATGAGCTTTGATTCTACGTGTGGCTTTCCCATTACCACCAGTGTTTTTTTGGTGGCTGTCAGAGTATTATAAAGGTAAAAAACAGACTTCAGTGGGTTGGTATATTAACGTTATATCAGTTTATCAAATATAAGTTTTATTTTCCATAAAATTAAAGTTCAATTCGTAAAACCTAAAATGGTTGCTGTCATATTTTTACGGTAAAGTTCTGGCAAACACAGCTGCGAATGTTTTACTGTAAATTCCACTTTTTCTTTTTTTTTTGTGTGCGAAGAATTGTGAACCCGCTAAACCTAACCTGAACCGGGTTGATTTGTTTGATTTTGTCTCTAAACCTACTCTGAAACTAGCTTTGTGTAACACCTAATTAACACCTTGTAACACAAGCCTAATTAGACTTGGGATGTTGCTTTGCATTCTCAGAGTTTGATAGCCAATGTGTAATAAATGCTTTCGTGGGAGAAAGCAGAGTGAACATTCCTCCTGTTGTGTTCCATGGAAAAACAGTCATAAAGGTTTAAAATGACAAAGAGGTTTATGTATTTAGTGTAATGTTTTGTGACGTTTCCTCTGTTGAACGTCCTGTTCACTTCAACCTCAGGAGCTTCCCATCATGGCTTCATTTCAGCCAGCAGCACAAGATGGCAACCGTCCTTTATTAAAGACTGTGTCTTGAGCTGAAGCTGGCACTGGCCCAAACTGCATTTAGAACAAGGCACGGTGTCGCTGATTGCATTTTTCCTAATTAAGCCTCGTCTGACCTTGGCAGAGGCAAATCATTAGATTCTCATTTTAATAATCACACCGCAGCGGTTATATTCCACTGGGTCTCTGACGGCACTGGAGCAGTCTTTAAGCTCTTCTTAATTTTCTTGTTTACAAGAAGACCCAACTTTATAGCGAGCGTAAGTAATTGTGTTGGTGGATATGATGACATAAATGACTCTCTAATTTAGGCCCACTGTGTATGCTTTAAGAACACTATAAAAGCTACTTATGTTTTCATAAGCGTTTGATGTAAGTGCACATTTTAGCCAGCATTATGGTATATTTTGGCTGTTTTGTTCAGTTGCTGCAAAGGACGCTGCGTAATGATAACATAATCACTAAATTACCTGATCATACTTAAGTAATAACTTGGTCTTCTTTAGTTGTGCTAATGAATGGTTGCCTAGCAGCTGGTGTTACACATTCAAGCCACTATTCAAGGCATGGATCTATTTTAATCTTAATTGAGACTGTTTTCTGATAGTGTGGAAATTCATACAAACTAATTTTTTTCCCCCCTTCCTTGTTGAAAAAAACAGCATATGCTGGTTAGGTATGTTTTGACAGTATGAATAGTAATATTGAAGAGATATTTGTGGGGCTGAATATGGAATGCTTAAACTTGATGTCATCTACATGCTTGTATTTATTTATTTTTTTAGCAAATATATGCGCTTATGAACTTGCTGTCTTTAGCTTCTGGAAAAACAGACCAAAAATATAATACAGGTGTATTTATGTCCAGTAACATTGTCCACAACGAGAAAAGCAATGTTTACATCCATGGTGTTAATATGTCAAAATTCAAAATATCGCAAAACAATTAGCATATTATGCAGAATTCTATGATAATTCAAGAGAACTTCCAGGGAAACTGACATAAAATAGTGGGGCTAAATATAAAATTTTTACTAAATATAATACATTACTAAACCTGAGGTGTGTAGAGTGCTGACAAACTTGATGTTTGCAAGCAACTGGTTGTTTAAAAAATAAGGGCAAGAATTAATATAAAAATTAGATGTATATCTATCAAACTGTGACAAGGAATTAAAAATGTGTAGTTCACTTTGTAAATTCAAGAAAATGTTTAAAAAAGGTGTGATAAATAATCATATAACCCAATATGAATAATTGTAACATATAAACTGTTGTATTAATGTTTGAAATGTGTACTTTTGTTATGTAGGCCTAGATTTTGGGAAATGTTTCTGTTTATCTAGCTCAGATATTGTGAGAAAAGTGTTGTTCATTAGATAAATATGTCAAAAGGGTAGGCAAAATAAGGCTTCAGCCTACAAATTTTCAGTCATTATGTATCTTTTTTATCTTTATTTATTATGAAAAATTGTGCATGAGGACCAAAATAAAATTTGTTGTTGTAATTGACTCAATGATATATGGACTTACATGTGCATTAGTAAATGATGTGTATATGGTGGTGTGATTTGTGGCGTTTACATTAAACTGTTTGTTCATTGGCTGACCAAAAGTGGTCAGGGATGTGATGGTGGAGATCAGCCAGCAGTTTTGTAAGGCAGATCACGCCACAGTGCAAACTACTAAGCAGTACTGCCCTCTGCTGACAGCATAAGAGCAGGTATACTGTAGCTACTTAGTTCTTAAATAGGATTTTGTTGCATGCATTTGTATTAGATCAATAACCCACATGACACATTACAGTGTTAAAATATCTGATATTTGTCTAATATAAGTAGGTGCTATCAGCGTGGCTTCATATTAGAGTATCTCTCTCAGCAATCACATCATCAGTCTTTTCCCTCAAGGTTAACATAATCTAATACATATGTATGAAGTAAAACAAAACATACAATCATTAATACTTTGGCTAAACAAGTTGTCTCGTAAAAAGCATACACTCTAAAAAATGCTGGGTTAAATACAACCCAGTGCTGGGTAAAATAGGGACAAACCCAGCAATTGGGTTGTTTTGACCCAGCGGTTGGGTTACTACCCAGAAGGTTGGGTTAAACATTTAACCCATCCGCTGGGTCAAAACAACACAACTGCTGGGTCTGTCCCTATTTTACCCAGCGCTGGGTTGTATTTAGCCCAGCATTTTTTAGAGTGTATCATAGCTACTAAACTATTTCTTGGTGGTATAGTTTTAAATCTGTATTTAACCTCAGAATGATCTCAAGTAAGTCTGATTTTGTGGTGGCTGTGCTTTAAAATTAAATTATTATAATCTTAATTGAAGTGATGAAGGATTTCGAAAGTGACAATAATCAGTGCTACTGCAATGTTAACCCTGCCTGGGTAACATGCTTGAAAATGATTAACAGTTGAAATCATTCAAAATTTAGAAAAGTAATCAAAACGTAATCAAATGTAATCAGTTACTTTATGTAATAGTATCATGTAATAGTAATTACTGTAATAAAGTAACTGAAATAGTTACACTGCTTATTACATTTTAAATAGGGTAACTTGTAATCTGTAAGCTATTACATTTGCAAAGTAACCTTCCCAACACTGATTGCGAATAACTAGGTTCTGTAGTGAAAGGAACATCTAGGGAACCGGAAAAATAAGTAGGCTATGGGAAGATTTAAGGTACATTTTTAATATTGCACCATATATACAGTATAAGCCCATGAACAAGCTTTTGTGTTTTTCCCCTCCCCTGGCTGAACAGGCTGAAAGGATAGTTTAAAGAGGTTGAAAAACATCAAATCAGATTCTAGTCCATATCGATCAAACATAATTTACTTTTGCAGTACTGTGACAAAGGCAAGTTCACACAACAAAAAGCGTTCACATCCTTGTGAAACTAACTACAGTTGCATCACTTGACCGCTGCACGCATTCAGAAAGCACTATTTAGCAAATATTAACCATAACACTTACTCTATGAGTTGAGGATGGCGTACAGTCAGGTGGTCATTGTAGATAATGTTTGTAATCCATTCTATTACATAATTTATTGCTCAAATGGAGCTGCATAACGAGTGTGATTTTATGTCTTTTGGAGTGTATGTCCTCCAAGCCTGCAGGAGGCGCTAATGCGGCTTCAGTGGGTTTAATGGCGCAAGAGCGCTGCTGAGAAGAGGCAAAAGAAGACGCGCTGTAAATGGCCGCCTCCATGTCGTGAATGTGAAGACTGACAAAGATTACAATTTTATCTAACTGCTCAACTCATCGAGATCATAATCGAATCATATACCATAACGGTAATATTAGAGATTAGTTAAGCATGTTTTATCAAATGAAGGATGAGTAATTAATCTGATCTTCCGTGAGCGGTATTGAAAGCGCTTTACTCCCACTGTCAAAATGAATTGAGGGATAAAAGATCAAACTGCTCTTTTCACATAAACATCAGATTTACTGCATAATCAACTACGGTCGTCACATAATATTATATGTGATCAGAGATATCTGATAGATTTGGTGTTTCAGTGTGGGCTGTAGCTGATGACACGTGAGCTCACCAAACAAATGATTCACGTAGACTTTAAATAGAGCTTTAAATATGGTAACGTTACATGTGATTAACGGCCTCGAATGTGGGCTTATTTATTGTGATTTTCCTGCCAGTAAACCATGATGCAGTACAGTCGTCTGGTGGATTTCATGAAAACTGTCAACAGCATGTCTGTGTTCATAGAAATGATGTTTTGCTTTAAATCAAGACTGTTTTTTTAGTGTTACTTAGAATTTAATTGTTTTCAACTCTACAAATTCTTACGGTTTTAAAGCTGTCTGAATTGTGCGTATACAGTGTTATACATCGAAGAAATGTTTGTTGTAATTCAGTTTTATTACTATATGACGTTAATAATGGTTTGAGTCTGACAATACTAATACTAGGTTTTTTAAAACTTTTATAAAGTAAAAAGTTTGAAAAAAATAATAAATATATTTTAATAATGTACGGAACCTTTAATAATCTAATCAGAATCGTCATTGAGAAAAATGGAAATTGCAGTAAAAATGGTTTCATGTTCAGAAGCTTTGCTGTAATGGCGAGTTTAGCTTTGAAATGTTCTTAATTGTCATAAAATAATGTTGCAGTCAGAAAAAAGATTTCGGCAAATTTATAGTAGACATGTTTTTTAATTTTACTCACCATTCACCATGGTATGGAACTGACTGTGGTATTTTCTCTTGTCCACTTCACATACTTATCTGAAATCATCTTGCAGTATTATGTTCACTGATAACAATGTCCAAAAGACATGTTTTTTTTGTGATCAGTATCAGTTAATTATAGCTTTATAAAGTCTTTACCTCCAGTGGAAGTGCCTAGTCAAATTTGTTTATATAGCGCTTCAACAGTTTTTTTTTTTTTAAGCACCTTTACAGTAATACACAGTAAAATAACTGTTGTAAAATGTGTTAATTATAAAACAAACTTCAATCTCAGCTTTAAAACAGCTCTGCAGAAGCTCAATGTAGTTCAAGTTCATCCAATCGTGTCCGTACAGTCAAACTGATAATGTTTTCTGAATCGTAATTGTCTTTTAAGCAGATGTGTGATGTTATCAAGTAATTAACTGACTGATATCCTCAGTCCTTTGCTGTACAGACCTGCACAGCTATTGCTGTCCAGCGGCGGCCTGATAGTCCAGTTTGGCATCAGCTGTCACTTACTTCTAAATGAAGGACGGCAAGGAGAACTCTACCGCCGCTGCTGGAAGTTTTGCCACAAATCTGGACCACACAAAGCCATGCTGGTACTGGGACAAGAAGGATCTGGCCCACACCCCGTCCCAGTCCGATGGCCTGGATCCAGCCACAGAAGCCCGGTACAGACGAGAGGGAGCCCGGTTCATATTCGACGTCGGGACACGTCTGGGACTGTATCCTTCTAACACGGCCATTTACAACTTATTACCAGTTCTGTGTAGGAATGATTTTGAAATACTGAGAGGATTTTTATATGATCCTTAACCAATGTTTAAGACATTATGACACTCTGGCAACTGGAATAACATACTTTCATCGGTTTTACATGTTTCATTCATTCAAACAGTTTCCCAGATATGTAAGTGTTTATGCTCTTGAAAATCTGATAATTGTTTACTTTTGATGCATTTTGGCAGATTATTATTATACAGTGTTTATAGGCAAAGTACTGCTTTGGGGTAATTTATCATTTATTTATTCTAATTTGTGACCCTGGAGCACAAAAGCAGTCTTAAGTCTCTGGGGTATATTTGTAGCAATAGCCAAAAATACATTGTATGGGTCAAAATTATCGATTTTTCTTTTATGGCAAAAATCATTAGGATATTAGGTAAAGATCATGTTCCATGAAGATATTTTGTAAATTTCCTACTGTAAATATATTAAAACTTAATTTTTGATTAGTAATATGCATTGCTAAGAACTTCATTTGGACAACTTTAAAGGTGATTTTCTCAATATTTTGATTTTTTTTGCATCCTCTGATTCCAGATTTTCAAATAGTTGTATCTCGGCCACATATTGTCCTATCCTAACAAACCATACATCAATGGAAAGCTTATTTATTCAGCTGTCAGATGTATAAATCTCCATTTTGAAAAATTGACCCTTATGACTGGTTTTGTGGTCCAGGGTCACATATTAGAATTTATCATTTATTTATTCTAATATCAGAATTTTCTGAAACCATTTAAATTACGATTCCAATGTTTTTTTGAGATTAATTCAAAGAATAGGGCCTTTTAATGATTATTATTAGTGTTTATTGTTTTATATGTTTCACTCTAGGTGAACATATCACTGCTTATTGATATTCTCTAATAAACTCATTTATTTTATCTTGATTCCTACTTTGAATTAAACCTAGTTAATCTACAAAACTATTTAATATACAAAACCAAAAAATTGCTGCTTGGTCCAAGTTGTGATTATCTAGAGTTATTTGGGGGTAAAAACGGTCTGTTTTATAATTTTGATGACTTTCAAGGAAAAGGTTTTCAAATGTTGAAAAGGTATTCTGTTGTGCCAGGAGGTAAAAAACAAAAGGAACTGAGTAAACACAGTGTCTATGTTAAGATGTTTGTTGCTGTATCATGTAGTAGAGGTCTACACGGGTCCAAAAATTCGTAGCCGAAGATACCCGTAAATGTGCTACACTGAACCGACCCGGACCCGTCTATTTTTTTGAAAGTTGGACCAGGGCCCGTACAGAACCGAGAAATGTCAAAAATGTACTACCTGGAACCGACGCGGACCGTCAATTATTTGAAAGATGGACCCGAACCCGGCCGGGAAGACACAGACCCGACTGGACCCGATCGGCACATATTCTACAGCAAATCGCTATTAACAAGTCAATAAACAAGTTGCGAAAATTAAACTTTTTGTCTTACCTAATGTAAGAAGCCTTCTCCCTTGTACCTGACTGATGCACACAATCCTCCTTGCCAAGAAAGTTCCATCCTGTTATTCCTCTCTTGCCAATTGAAATGCGTAATCCACTCATTATTCCAGTTTCAAAAGTCCACTTGCTGTCACGGTGACGGATGACAAATGCGACTTTGCAGTTTTGCATTTTTTGTATCTCGAGTCAACTTGCATAATAATTTAGACTGTTTGCCCATTTGGATTATAAGAACGATTGCTCGTCCAGTGCCATGCTGACGTTAGCTTTACTTATTTGCTATCATCTCTGTGCTCTCTGAGCCGAGTCTGAGCAAAAATTTTAGATATAACAACAAGACGGTTCATTCATAATATTATAAAAAAAATAATCAATAATAACTCGCATATGAAGGTATCCATTATCACCGTGCGTGTGCATTAACTCCGCCCACCCTGCTTCTGATGACGTCGCTCGTGTTTTTTTTCCCCCCCACCTTATTTCAAATTACCGACTTCACACTTTTCTCATCCTAATTTTACAAGTTGAACATTACAAAACAACACACGCACAGCGCTGACTGACTCTGATAACGGCCGGGTGTGCTCCGAGTCCGATCGACTCGGGTATTACACACAATGTTAAACAGACCCGGGACCCGAAGTAATAGATTGGGACCCGACCCGGACCCGGCAGACCATTTAAAATATAGTCCCGAACCCGTACGGATCCCGGGTCGGGTCCCGGGTCCTCGGGTCTCGGGTCCTCCGTGTAGACCTCTAGCATGTAGCACACTCTAAATTTAGTCGTGTTTAAAAGCTTTATGTTTCTCTATACAGGTGACTGGGGCTTGTTGTCTTTTCCTGGCTGGCAAAGTGGAAGAAACCCCCAAGAAGTGTAAAGACATCATTAAAACGGCTCGGAGTCTGCTTAATGATGTGCAGTTTGCACAGTTTGGAGATGATCCGAAGGTTTGGAATCCATTCAAAACACAAATTCTCATTCTTGTGATGTTCCTGCTGTATTAAACATCACTGTGTTTCATGGCATTGTCTCCACAGGAAGAGGTCATGGTCCTGGAGAGAATTTTACTCCAGACAATCAAGTTTGATTTACAAGTTGAGCACCCCTACCAGTTTCTGCTGCGCTATGCTAAACAGCTCAAAGGTATTAATAGGTTTAAAGGGGTAGTTCACCCAAAAATGAAAATTCTGTCATTAATTACTCACCCTCATGCTGTTCCAAACCCGTGAGACCTTCGTTCATCTTCAGAACACAAATTAAGATATTTTGGATGAAATCCGAGAGCTCGCCGACCCTCCCATAGATAGCAACGGTCATGAAACTCCAGAAAGGTCCCAAAAACATCGTCAAAACAGTCCATGTGACTTCAGTGGTTCAACCGTAATTTTATGAAGCTACGAGAAAAATTGTAAGTTATGAGAAAAAAACTGAACTAACGACTTTATGCGACAGTTTCTTCAGGATGCGTGTTCACGAGGGCACTACGACGCCCGCGCCTTGTTTACAAGCAGAGGAAGACGCATACGTCGTAGTGCCTTCATGAACGCGCATCCTGAACTTACGTTGAAGAGAAGTAATTTTAGAATAAAGTCGTTATTTCATTTTTTTTTTGCGCACAAAAGTATTCTCGTAGCTTCATAAAATTACAGTTGAACCACTAAAGTCTTTGAAAGTTTCATGTTAAGTTTAAGATATCCAAAATATCTTAATTAGTGTTCCGAAGATGAACGAAGGTCTCACGGGTTTGGAACAGCATGAGGGTGAGTAATTAATGACAGAATTTTCATTTTTGGGTGAACTAACCCTTGCTTTGTCGTGATGTTAGTCATCTGATGTTAATCATCATGGTTTGATTTTTCAGGTGACAAGAACAAAGTTCAGAAGCTTGTGCAGATGGCGTGGACCTTTGTCAATGACAGGTTGGACTGTAATTCATTCATTCATTTATTAATTTACAACAATGGTACTGTATTTTCATTTTTTTGTGTTTCAGAAAGTTGTTTTTTTTTGTCCCCACGATTCTGTGATTATTCAGTTGTTACCATACATGCATATCAGTGTTATTATAGTTAACTAAAACCCCACATATATATGTATGCATGTGTGTATGGCGAACTTGAGACTTCTTGGACTTCTAATATTACATTTATAAAATAGAAGTTGTTTAGGGATGCACAGTTTGCAACATTTAAATCTTTTAATATTTAGGCATTTAAACCTAGTTAATTTTGGACACTGTTCTTTTGCACCAAAAACAAAAGAATGTTTAAAGGCCTCTTTTTACAAGTAAACTACTTAACGTGTCATCATTGATTCTTCTGCAGTTCTTAACATGTTTGTGTATATTTCCAGCCTCTGCACAATGTTGTCCCTTCAGTGGGAGCCAGAGATCATAGCAGTGGCAGTCATGTACCTCGCCGGCCGGCTGTGTAAGTTTGACATTCAGGAGTGGACGTCTAAGCAGTCGTCTCGCCGCTGGTGGGAGCAGTTTGTACAGGATGTGCCGGTGGAGCTGCTGGAGGGTAATCACATTAATGTTTGACTGTGTGTATTTCAGACTTTCTCTATGCCTCTCTGCCAAGATAATTATTTGGATATAGGAAAAATAACCCTAGTTTTTCATGTAATGATGCACTGCTCACTTCCAGCATTTCATGATCTCCATACCCATGTCTTGTGTTCTTCAGACATCTGCCACCAGATTCTGGATTTGTACTCTCAGGGCAAGCAGCCGATACCCCAGCAGCCTCAGATACAGGACAAAGAGAAACCGCCACCCCCTCCTGCTACCCAGCCCAGCCAGTCAGGGGGGCAGAACCCACCTGCTCAACCTCCCTCCAAGAAAAACTCCCCCCAGGCCAGCCCCCCTGCCAAGATTAAACGCCAACATGTGAGTAAAGCATTTGCAGTTTAGATAGATATATTATGGAGATATTACGGAAAACACACGTTTGGGACCAAAAATGATTTCAAGTCACTATCCTGGCACACAGCCGTTCATCCTTGACTTTTATTTGTGAGGTAGCTTTGTGCTTCAGGATTCTGGATAGTGTAGTGTAGTGGTAGACCGATATATCGCCAAGGCCGATATATTGGCCGATATTTGGCATTTTTCAAATATCGGCATCGGCCGATAAGTTTTTCCTGTTTGGCCGATGCGTTCGAGGCGGGACTTTTATTTTGACGGCGCTGAGAACAG